TGCCTATCTTTAATACGTGTGCTGTCTGGTGTATTGTGTGCTGTGTTTTATGTTGGTGAGTGTAGGAGGGGGAATGGGTAGTGGGGAGAGGGAGGTACCGTTAGTCTGTATAGATTTCATGTATCGTTTGAAATATGGGATTGTATGTTTCTATGTGTGTGTCATTCATGTGTAGGCCTTTCTTACTTATTTTATATATATGGTATTTCTCTAATGTATTCAAATGTCTACCCTTCTTTCCCGTTGTTATAACTTCCATTACGTCTGTTATTGTTCCGTATGCTTGTCCCGTATTTAGCATGTGATTTGAGTACCCAGAATTGCTATTATTATTTCTAATATCATGTATATGTTCTTTATATCTAGTGTTAAATGTTCAGCCCGTTTGCCCAATGTATTTCAGTGGACAATCTACGTAGCTACATAAGAATATACACCTGATGATGGCCATTTAGGGCCGAAACATGTAGTGTAGAGGAAGGAAAGAAGAAAGAACTACAATTAAATTGTTGCACTTAAGATGGAGTTTGTCTCATATATTGCGTGAGTGTAACAGGATGCTTAAATATAATAATGTGGGACCCTTAACGTCTCACAACCCTATGGGCCTTCACGGCCTGTTACAGGGATAGCTTTACTTTACTTTTTTTACTTATTGACAAAATACACAGTACAGTGGGATACTTAAAAATATGTTGCCTGAAGATGACATTGTGTGGCTGAAATATGTACTGCATAAGCATAGACTGTACATATATTTATGACATTTTAAACATTTTAACGAACATTTTAGTGAATTAAATGTGGATTAGTGCCATCTAAATCCATATTGATATTGTTGCGTTATAGACAGAAGAAGACTACAAATGATACTTCAGTGCAACAAGATGCTGAAATATAATATTGTGGTTAAATAAACTAAGAGACAACAACATTAGTGTTAGTGTCTGACCTGTTAAAGTGTATATAGTGCTGTCTGTAACTCAGACTAGCATCAGTTGGACTTTGTTATTAAGTCCCAGTACTCCAGTTTGCAGTAGTTTCCCAGAACCCTCCTTGTCTTTCTAAATTTCTCATTAGTCATGTTTTTCACTTATTGTACATACAAATGCTGTGTTACATAAATTACTTTTCTTTTGCTTCATTAAATGTACAGTATCATAAATTGTTTTGATTAACAATTTTCTTACTTGGACATATGTCATGTACCTGTTTTATGTGGTAAGGCGTTTTGGAGCTTATAATATACGAGATGTGCTGAATATTACAGTCAGATAGTTAACACTTGTGTTCAGTAGGCCCCAGGTTCATAGCTCAGCCCTTAGTCTGCCTGACGTAGGTGGGGTTCTTCTGTGGCTTACTCAGTCTGTCCAGTCAGTTGGTGGGTTAGGACCTTAAATCAGACCATAACAGTTCCTTTCACATAATTTTTCACTTCATTATTCACTGAACATTGTATCATTGGATGCATTAAATTCTGAACAGTGGAAAACATTGTAATTAAACAATAAATAAATAAATATTATTGAGATCTGCTTCTGATGATGTTGCAGGATGTGACATAGGCAGAAGCCTCTTGCAAGCAGCAGAAGAAGAAGTAGAGGAAGAAGATGAAGTTACAGCAGGATATAGCAATGGTGATATGGGACTGCAGGCACGTGCGCTCTATGACTATCAGGCTGGTAAGTCACTGTGTTGGCGCAGATTATTCTAGTATAATTGAAGATTTGCCCATTCATGAAGACATTGTGACAGAAGGAAATGAGAATGATTATATGACAGTGCACAGCATTCAGCAAGTGCTTCACAGGGTGGGGCTAGTGTTAAGCATTTACATTGGAGGACATGGATAATTATGTAAGGAGAAGGAAAAAATTTATAGGAAATTGTGATCCACAAAATAAAGCAAAAATGTGACTGAAGGTGTGGATGCATTCAAGATGTCTTTCACACCGGAACTAATAGAAATAATCATCTGTAAGGCAAATATTCATGCCAAACGTTGTTTAAAATCCAGGGGAATTACGTTACCGTTGTGACCTAGGATGAGACTGGAAAGCTGCCAGCAAAAATGAGATATATGGTATTCTGACATTTTCATGCTCATAGGCATAGCTCAGAGGCCCACATTATAATTTTATTTAATTTGAATTGATATGTAAATTTTTGCACTTGAACAATAATGACAGCAAAGGGAAATATCCTAGCTCCCCAGAACTTTTCAGAATATACCCAGCAATGCCCTACCTGAACAGGAAGTTTCAAAATTTATACTTGTACACACCAAGTGAGTCTGACACAATGGATAGGGAGGCTTTCATTCAGACAATACATTCCATTGAAGTCATCGAAATCTAGAATACAGTGTTACGAGCTTTGTAAATCCAGCTATCTTTATTACTTCATTATTTATATTGGAAGAGACACCTAATTTCATAGGAAAGTGAAACAGCAACTCTTGTGTTGTCTCTTGTGGAACCATTGCTTGCTAAATGGCACACATTGTGGGTGGATAACTACAATGCACCAGCACCGGCTATGACTAAAATTGATTAAAACTAATTGTGTTGGAAGTCTGCATCTGAAAAGGAAAAACACACCAAAAATAGTTAACGAGAAGAAACTGAAGGGTTGGGTGGGGGATTAGAGCTCAGCATTTTGGTCCAGTGTCCTTGCTGAAATGGTGTGACAAAGAAAAATGTCACCATGATCTTGACGAAATGAGAAAGGTGAAAACAGAATGGGAAGAAGAAAAAGAAAAGCCTGCTTCAGTTCTGAACTACAGTCAAAATATAATAGGAGTTAATCTGAAAGATCAGCTTAATATTCTAATATTCCCCTGAATGCCCAAATCAATCTTCATGAGCTTGGTACATACATATCATTGTATATCATGCCATTTCAGGCCATCTCAATTGAGTACTTCATAAATCACTCCCATCAGTAATACCAACACTGAAGCCTCCCAAATTGTATTGCTTTATTGACTTCACTCTGCATACATACTAAAGTTTTCTTTCTACTTGTTGAATCATATGCTCAAATTACTGTGAAAGGAAAATAGACAATTGAATGTATGTATGAGGGGTGGGCCTTCTTGGCCCTTGCACCATGACCTACAGTGGTCTGTTGTGCTTAGAAAGTAGACAGTTAGTGCTTCCCAGAATGTATTGTTATTTTGGGCAGTAGCACACAAACTATCCAATTCATCTCATCTACAACAGTTAGCAAGTACTGCACATTTCAACTTGTCAGCAAAATTTGACTCTTTCTTGCCTTTTTCTGTTCATGGTGAGAAGACATGGCTCTAAATTTAAAGATTTATTTTTCAGTACAATAATGTATAAAATATTTAATTTAAAAGGGATTTTATATGGAGAGGAACACTTCAATGCTTTGTGAAAAAATTGCTAGTGTTACGAATTGTTGGTCTAATAGAGAAAATTCTCATCTGTGTCTGCAACATTTTTCCAAATTCTGATTGAAATTCTCATTTCAAACTGAGAAATTCTTTCTTATTCATTGCTAGTTGTAGAAGAATATGATGTCAGAAAACTATAAAACCAAAGATAAAGTACTGAAATTAACTTAAATTAAATTGTATTCTTTTTATGGCATAACTGAAGGAATGTTTGCAGACAAAAGAACACATGTATATATTTCACTTCTGTGCTGATTAGCTGCATTATTCATTTTTACAGTGTGAGCCCGTTTCTTCACATGGCCTCACAGGCTAAAGCAATTGACTTTATAGAGCCGTTGCACATTTATGCAGTGACAGGTTCATAAACTACTTCTGAGGTGCTAGAAGTATGCTTTCTTTACCAGAGACCAAGTTCCCCTACACTCTTCTAACATTTTCCAGTCATACTATGTGGAGCTGAAAGTCTTCGCCATCGGTTGCTACATTCATCTACTACTTGTCTTTCTGGACATATTCAGTGTTGCCCTAAAACAAGAGCTACATTGGTTCTCATGATCCAAGTAACTATAAAGGCGTGTCCACATTACTCGCGCTCGCCAGGCTTGTGCTCATCGGGAGACTCATCTGGCTCTTACTTGTGCTCATAAATCTTCGTCCACACTACTTCAGTTGCTCGCCAGGCTTCGGCGCATAAGTATCCGTATATTTACCCATAATGTGTATAGGCTGTAGTCATTTTAATTTGTTGGCTATAGTTTTTAAATTAAAAATTTTAAATTTGCTTGTCTCGTGCCTTGTCATATTGTCCCCATTACTTGCGAGCATAGCGAGTCACACGAGCATGAGTAATGTGGACGCACCTTAACAGTTACTGGCTTGTTGTCTGCTGCATTAATACATTAGCCTAACTTAGAATTTGCCTTGAAGAAGTCCACGAGTTAGGCCTTTGTCTTTGCTTTTAAAAGGAGAGGCCTTTGGTTGTATTTTGAAAAATTCAGGTGTTTGGTTTTCTTTTTAAAAATAAATATCTAAAGACCTTCCAAGGTTAGGCTTTGGATTTGGTTTTACAAATAACCTTCTGCAGTTGGCAGCACTAGTGTGGCAGACAACACAGTGGTAAAGTTATAAAGTTACTTAGATTACCCTTAGTATATAAGTAGCACTACAACTTGGTAGTAATGCTGGTTTCAGACTTTGCAGACCCTTTGTTAGGAAGTCATCCTGTGTACTGCATCATGTTGATCCAAAAGAAAAAATTATTTTCTCATCTGGTGATTGAGACTAGGTTTCATCATTGCAGTTGCCTTACTGTTAGTCCACTGATGACATTCCTGAGTTGAAGCAATTTGTTTTTACCATCGGTCCTTGCGATGGGAAGAAAAAGCTTGCTGATGCTATTAACACCAACACAGAGCATTTTGACTGAGGGTAGAGCTCTGTGGAAGCTACTTTGTGGTACACTGCTTGCGTTCTAATAACAAAATTGTACCTTGGTTGGTATAGTGACTAGGCTGCAGACTAGATGACTGAAAAATTAAGGTTTCTCTTCTCTGCTCTGTCTATACTGACTCTGGGGCCCACCCATCATCTCATACATTGAGTACCAGTGGCTGTCACCCAGCAGGTAAAGTTGTTGGGGTATGAAGCTGACCACTTATTTACATCTAGTGCTAAAATTGAAAATGAAGATCCTTCACTCTCATATGCATCTTCATGGCGTGGTGCTTAGTTAAGCTCAAGGATAATCCATTTTATTGTTATCACATTGGATCATCCCTCAGAGATGTAAAAATGTTTTATCAAACTGTGCTGCTTCTGTACCCTCATTACTGTTACTTATATACTCTTTCATTATAGTTAAATGTAGCAGTTGCTCTTGTTATGTTGTCAGAGGTATGGAGCATCTCCATGTTGAGTCCTCAGCGTCAGTTTCAGATCAGTAGGACCATGTATGTGTGTGTCACTGTGGCTGACAGTGAATTAAATAACACTGTGCTTGACTGCAGTGCAGCTGTTTATGTTTATGATATTGTCTGTTGACTAGACACAGGATTTGGATTGATAATTGGATTTATTGAACATATGCAAATTGTAACTACAAGTAATTGTAGTGCTCTTGCTAATTCACACGCTCGACTTAACACTACAGCTCTTACTAAGTCTTCTCAATTTGTCTTCACCAGCTGTTTCTAGGCTATGGCTCCCTTGGTAATCTCCACACTTCACAGTTCACTAGCACACACTGAGTCTTCTCAGTTCGCTACATCTTAATGCACCCATTGCTTGGTAGCAGCTTCCAACAACGTGGATTCCTTTTACTGCTTCCATGCTGTGGCTCCTGTCCTCACAGGCTTGCAACACTCACATTCTCAATTGACTTAACTCTTCTCATTCATCCTTGCTATATAATATATAGCATTTACAGGTTGTTGCATAGCAATTACTCCTTGTTTACTGAAGTCTTAGAGTGTTTACCAGCCATTGCATAGCAGTGTTCTGGCTTTCATGTCACAGTATTGTAGATGATTGCAGAAGGCATGGAATAGGTGGTCTTTCAGCCAGAAACCATGAAACTTCATTGAAGATTGTGTTGTGCATATATATCATGCCATTTTTTATATTAAACAGGCATTTCGTTCTTCTGAGTAATTGTGTTGTTCTTTTTGCAGCGGATGCCACAGAGATTACATTTGACCCAGGCGACATCATCACACACATTGACCAGATTGATGAAGGATGGTGGCAGGGACTTGGCCCAGATGGAACATTTGGCCTCTTCCCTGCAAATTATGTGGAACTTCTCAACTAGAATCAAGATTCCAGGAAATAGTGAAGGGTTATGTTTGAGTATACAATATTGTTTCTTTTATGTTTTCAAATATTTATGTTTACTGCTGCTTTGGTTTCTTATGTATTGACTTATATCAGTGCACACTGTTTTTAATCTGAGACTTTTCCATGAGAAATTTTTGCAACATTAATAATGTTCTAACCATATCATCCCAAAGTCTTCTTAAAAAATATGTATGATTTTAAAGTATTGTTAAGATATGTTCACCAGTATTTTGATATTTAATTAGTTACTTCACAGATTTAATACTAATAATCAGATATAACATTCATAATCAGGAAGTGTATTATATATTTGAAGATTCATCTTCAGTGTTTCAGCTTTGGTATATTCAAAGAATTCTTACACCATGAGATGTGCTTCCATCTGACGTCTGCTCACTGTACTGCACTGCCATCGACAGTTAACACAGTAGCTAATCCTGTTTGGTGCTAATAGTTTAAGATGTAGGTTATCTATAAGCCATACTTGTCAAGAGGTGACCACCATAAGCTGTGGTGCAGAAAATCTGGGTTTCATGGTAGTACAAGTTTGGATGTGAAAGTTTGAATATGGCAACTCCATTTTAAAATCATCCTTCAGCTGGACAAGAAATTTCATGCTTCTGTGGAACAGAAAGTTCATCTTTATGTTATCTGAAGGTCACAATTTGACTTAATCATGGGTCCTTTGCATCTAGTACACTTGTTTACATCCTGTTTCTTCAAGATCAGTTTCAGTATTATCATTCCACCTATGCCTTGGTTTCCCAAGTGATCTCATACTTAAAATTTTCTGACTACATTGTTTGTTTATAATTTCCGTGTGTGCTACAGCATGACCAGTGGATTTATACCTCCAGAAAGTGTATGAACTATGATTGGAGATTCCATTTTTACCCTGTTTCAGGAAAATATATTATCTCCTTTATAACCTCTCTAGTCATTGTTCTAATACCTAATTGTAGACTCACTGTAATCCTTGATATTCTGTTCTGGTTATGCTGGCTTCATTTTCACTGACAACAGTGTAGGTCACTTTAGGAAAGTTAGGTTGCACTGACTGGGTAATTGTGAGCATGAAACTCCTCAGGCACTTACAAGTGGGACTCAGTACTGTTAGTGTTACAGTTGGAGCATGGAAATAGACTGATGACCTTTAGGGGTTTCATATCAATATGAAGCAATTACGATGGTAATACTGAGGTGCATGAGACTGACTTGAGTGACGAAGATGAAGATACAGGTTACCACTGGATACTAGGACTTGTGGTAGTCCATTCATGTTTCACACTTACATTTAATTGTATAAACACAATATCAGACTTCAGTTAGTTATGATAAATGTATAACTGTAAAAAGTAAAAGTAAATGTATCCCTATAACATGCTGTGGGGGCCCATAGGGTTGTGAGATGTTGAGGTTCCCACATTTTCTAGACAATCGGCTCATAGATGGCAGCAAGGTTGTCAGCCCTACGTGCTGGCCGCCCTTTACCCCCAAGAATATTCCTGGTACTCGTTTCTGTTAGAGGCGGAGTCGACCCAGGGGCCATAGTGTGGCTAGAAGGATTAGGTCATCATCATCATCATCAGTAATCTGTCAAGATGACAGGTCCACAGTCTCTTCCAAAACAATTCCTCCACTTAATGCGATCCAGAGCTTTCTCCTTCAAATGACAGTATCCTCTTCTGTCCCCAAGGTCATCCAGCATCTTCTTACGTCTTCTTCCTCGTCTTCTTGTCACTACTATCCGCCCCTCTATATTTCCTTCGATAACTTCTTTTAGAAGGCAGTTTCTGCGTAAAACATGACCAATCCAATTAGCCTTCCGTTTTCTTATTTCGTGTAGGATATTCCTCTGCTCACTGACTCTGATTAACACTTCTTCATTTCTCACATAATCGGTCCAACTGATCTTCTCCATCCTTCTCCAACACCACATTTCGAAGCTTTCCAGATGTTTCTGATCTACTGCCCTAAGTGTCCATGTTTCAGCCCCATACAGAGCTATGCTCCAAATGTAGCATTTCACTAGTTTCTTCCTCAAATTTAAGTCCAATTTGCTGGTAAAAAGATTCTTCTTCTTGCTAAATGCAGCTTTTGCCATG